TTACAGTACAACCATGCATATCGGGTCTACTGTGTGACTGGTCCGCCCGCACCAGGTCTTCAGTCCACCTGGTCCACCCTCCGAGTCTAGTCATGTCCCTTGAGTCTACAGTGTGGTTGGTCTGCCCGCACCGGGCCTTGAACCCACCAGGTCCACTCTCTGAGTCTTCAGTATGACTGGTCCGCCCGCATCGGGCCTTCAGTCAGCCTGGTCCACTCTCCGAGCCTCGGCACATCTGTTCCGCCCTCGTGGGGCCTACAGCCTACCCGGACCGCTCGTTGGGCCTTCGGAATAACCGGTCCACCCTGGGTATGTTGGCCTACAGCACAAAGCAGGTCCCGCCTCAACCCAACCCCAGTCAAACAACCATGTGCACATAAACATACAATCATATAACAATTCACATTCATCAAACCGATCTAGCAGATCACGTAGCACGACATACTCTAAGCAGGATACCGACCTAATCGGTCACTAGCATAGCATCACCCTATATACCAGGATACCGACCTTAACCAGGTCTCTAACATATATCATCCTAACTACCAAAATGCAAGCATAGTAAAACAGCAACATAACAACAATACCCGGAATACAATCCGATAAAGGGTCGGCCTTAGTGCCTTAGTCCCTGTTGATATAGTGAGGATAACTCACCTCACAACTGCTGACTGGAAAGATAAGACCGAGATGCTCCGACCACTGACACGATCTCCACCACTGGCTAGCACCAACACTGAACTCAAAACAAATTCTAACAATTACCAAAATTCCCTTAGAAGTCAACTGGTCAACTCTTGGTCAAAGTCAAAGTCAAAGTCAACCTTCTGACTAACTCTACTCGCCGAGTCAGCCCACTGACTCGCCGAGTCCCCCAATACTGAAAAGACCCATCTCAACTCACTGAGTTATCCCTTGACTCATCGATTCTTAGCTTAACCAGGAAAGGCTAAGACCTCAAGACCAGACTCGCCGAGTCCAAGAACAGACTCGTCGAGTCCAAGGCTAACTTCAACCAACTCGCCGAGTTGTTCTTCCAACTCGGCGAGTTCCTGCCCACCTTCAAGCAACTCGCCGAGTACACCCTTGTGACTCGCCGAGTACCACTAACTCTTAACCCATACAGAAGCCTTCCAGGCCATGCAGTCGATCCAAAACGTAGATCTACCCTTCTACAACCCTTCCATCACGTAAAGTGGCAAACTTTACGTGAATCCAAAGAGATCTAGGCATTTTACTCTCTAGGGCTAGGGTTTGGGACAAGATGGCTTCACCAAACACTCAAGAATAGGGAGTTTAATGCACTCTAGACCTTCTCCATACCAGATCTGAGGTAGCAACCTCAGATCTAACCTTCAAACTCAAAATACCACAAGCTAAACTTTTCACACATTCCAAGATGATGAATGAATAACAGCCCAAGAAACGAAGTAATACCTCAAAAGGAAGCCCCAACAGAAGAGAAATCCGATTCTTAGCAACGCCCCTTGCTCCAAGCCTCCTATCTCTCCAAGATCTCCTCCAAAATCTCTTGTCTAAGGTTCCAATGCCCTCAAATCACTCACAAACACACCTTAGGGTTTTCTAGACTTCAAGAGAGGGTAAAGAGGCTGGGGAAAGGGTATAATGTCCTTTATATAGGGCTCATCCCCCGAAATTAGGGTTTTCTTCACTCAGCGCCTACTCGCCGAGTCCAGCCTTGGACTCACCGAGTTGATCACTTAACACGCGACCTAAGTCGCGACCCTACTCGCCGAGTCCACCCATGGACTCGCCGAGTTGCCCTTTCATAATTACACTTTGAACCTAGAACTTGCACTCCTGGACTCGGGATGTTACACAAGGAAGAATATTAACAACTCACTAACACATTAACCTTAGGTATTGTATCTTTTATTATTTATCTTTCTTAGTGATTTCCTATAACTATTTGATAACTGGATATTTGGACAGAGTAATTATTAGGTAGAGTGCATATCCCTATATTTAACCAGCATTACTTCTAAGTACTACATTATCCTTGGGATTTCGCCATTATAACATCCATGTATTATCTCTTCCTAGACTATCAGACATCATAACTCTTAGGCATAATATCATATCTTACAACTAGGTATAGTATCTATAGTTATATTACCCTAAGGTTTCAAGCTTTATAAACGATTGATACTTATGGATATAAATATATTTTGTTAAATCAATTTGATAAGCATGTATCCACCCCCCCCCCCCCCCGGGTAAAACATTTAAAATAGTGAATTTGGGGTTGTGAACTCACTCTAGTAGTGTAATCTAAAGCTCCAAGATATTGCATCCGAAACTTCACATCGTTGGGATTACTTCCAAAAATAATTTGAGAGATAAAGAGAGAGTCTTGGGTGTGAGAAAATCAGAAAGTGAGCACTTCTATTTATAGTGGTTGTGTGCATGGCGTACTTCATACGCGATGAATTTGGGTGTCAGACGTGCGCGTCGAGCAATGCACATAGTTGGCATGCACCTTAAAATTTTTTGTAAAAAATCACATCTTCCTTATATGAATCTTTTTTCTTACCCTCTTTATATATTTGTGTAGCTTTCTACTAGTACTACAACTTTTCTTAAAGTTGTATTGCCAAATTTTAACTTTTATTTTTAACTCGTATTTTTTATTTTTCTAAAAATCGTATCTCCTTCATACAAACTCCGCTTTTGACATTTTTCCTTTCAAAGTCCTTATCTCTCAAGGTACTACGAATTTTCCTTTTTGTGACGTTAGCCAAAACTCCACCGATTTCTTTTGTCCTTTTCATGTTAATCGGATTATTAATACGGTTGGTTTTTATCTTTTATAAAATCATAACTCCTGTAATCGGAGTCAAATTTTTACAACGATTATATAGTGGGATTACTTTGTTGTGTACTTTCCAAATACATTTACCATTATTAAAAATGATATAACTCTTTGGTCGCTCCTTTTTTACCCTTTTATTATTATCTAACTGATCATGTTTTTCCTGGAATATGAAAATCTTTATTATCATCATTTGTTGATGCTAATCTCTAGTGACGATTATTGACGGGAATTTTCTAATTGTCACACACGCAGTACGCGTGAACTATCCTGGTGTTGACATGTGTCCTCTTCTTATGGTGTCACATCATTCGTGTCCTGGAGAATCGGGGTGTCAGAATGCACACCGCATGTTGTGTGTGGGTGCACGTGATATCTTTTTATAAACTTTGAAAATTCGTAACTCTTGCATACAAACTTTGTTTTCAACAATTCCTATATATTCATGTAGGTCTCGATGTTTACTATGACTTTTTTTTTTTTGTCGTTTTGGCAAATTTTGACTTTCGTTTTTAGCCTATATTTTATAATCTTTTATGATTTCATAAAAATCTTAAGCCTTTCACACGTTTTCCGTTTTAGGAGTTCTTTGTCTCTTAAATCCTACTTTGAATGGTACTATGTTTCGTCTTTTGGTGACTTTTAATATATCATGTGTGGTAGACTTTCATTTACAAATAAAGTCATATCCCTTTCATACTTAGTAGGATTTTTACGATTTTTTTGGGATCACGGTAACATGTATATTCTAAAAATGTAAACCATCTTTCAAGAGGACATAATTTTTTGTGCACAATTTTTTTAAGCCTAAATGTTGACAAGATTTAGATTTTGAGTGTATTGGGGGTTACAGGACCATCATTTTTATGTTTCCTTGTTTTATTGTTAAGTACTAACAGCAATCATGGACGTATTTTTCAGGTTGTCACAATAAATTAAGCCACTGTGAACTTTGACCATGGAAATTTTAAAGTTTAGAGTGATGTCGCATATGTCATGTGTACCGTAGATTCCAAACACTTGTTGTGAGACTTCGATGTGGGATTTCAATTCAGGTTCGTGAAAGGTCTCGAAGGTTCAAGGGGATCATCACCACAATCCAACCTTATACGTCACCATCAATGTCATATGCATTCATTAAATCTCTATTAGATTAAGAACAACCCCTAATGACCATTCTCTTCAGCTTTTGAAGACCTCAATTCATCGGATTTTTGTGAACTCGGACCTAGATCTCGATTTCAAGAAACAGTTTTCAGATCTGAGGGTTTTTCTTTTAATTTCAACAAGCGATCTTTGAACTCATACCTACATTTCAATTCTTTGAAGTCGTGCATACATTTCATTTCAAAAGAAGAACTAATAATAAGATGGAATTAAGTAAAAGAAATGGAAGTCTTTGGTGGTGGGAGGCGAACAATTAAAAACAATGTACCAAAGAAGAACTAATAATAAGATGTAATTAATCAAAAGAAATAAAGAGTTTAGTCATCTTTTACAAACCATTAACTCTAGAGCCAAAAAAAGAAAATAGGTTCTCTCTCTCTCTCTCTCTCTCTCTCTATATATATATATATATATATATATATATATATATATATATATATGTGTGTGTGTGTGTGTGTGTGTGTGTGTGTACGCGCGCGCACGCAAAAATACAACCCTAAGAAAATTGCACCCCATCCCTTTGACTCGAACTGCATGTCTAGTGTTAATGGACCAATAGAACTGAGGACATGGGTTCAGGATTTTATGCTTTCTCGCCCCTTGATGGATCAAACTAATAAGAAAATAAGAACTATGCTTGAAGTCTTGAAGGTGAGTTTTAGGCAGTGTGTCTCTCATTCCTCGCCCCTTTGCACTTAGGAGTGCCTTCATTCTCAATGGTGCTTCAATTCCTATGTATTGTTTTGTTGTCGTGGAACACACCGAGAAAACTTCGTCGGGAATACATGAAATACTCTCCTCTCCATAGCTGGTATATCCCTTCGGAGAACTGATACCTTGTTGGAGTATACATTCAATGGACATGAAAACTTTACCAAAATTTACTTTGGATGGCGGTGAACAATAGCGGTGGTGAGAGATGGATAGTGGTGGTTTGGAAGATGGGAGGCCCATGGTGGTAAGGGGGGACGCTTGTGGTGGTGGAAGATAGAGATCAATGGTTTGGAAGATATAGAAGCAATTGGGTGGGGTTATAGTAGGTGTCACATCATCAAATACAATGTCACATCAGCATCTAAAGCATCTAAGTGTAACCTATGTGATCATGAAATATGCCACATCATCTTCAGTAGCATGGCTTTCATTAACATGTAATTTCGTACATCAATGATTTAAAAGACACAAAAAATAGTTCAAAAACCTTTTAAAATAGAATGAAATACTTTGTTGAGTAATGAAATAAATATTTTTTATTACTAATATGCCAACTTGCAATATGGTGTTAAACACACTTCTTAACAAGTTGCTATACATGGTATTTGTGTCCATTTAAAGGGTGTTTAGGACTCATTTTGATCAGCAAGTTGGTATATGACTGGAATGAAATCCAATACCTCCTTGTTTGGTTAGATATCTTGTTAGCCAAGTGAATATCAGTAAAAGGTGTTTGGGATTGCTTATGTGAAATGTTTATTCACTTTTAATACAGCAATTCCTTTTTAGTTTGGTATCAAACACAATCGTTAATGGGTTTTTGACAACATGCTTCCTCTTTATTTATTTATTGATTGATAATTTTATATTTACAAGTATAAATGTCACCAAACACAAAAATAACTTATCATTATCATGTTATTACGTTTGGATACCAAACACGAAATAATTTTTTTTAAATTCCATTTTGACACCAGATAATCTAATAGGCACTTAAAAAGCATAAGTTGTTTCAAATAAGCAAATCCCAATCACCCTCTTAATATACAATATACACGTAAACTGATTATTCTATGCCAATTAGGTCGTTCATTACATGAATATACTTTTAACTTTTATGTTAATAAATCCAAATAACCGAGCTCCCATGTTTAACAACCTAACTAACTAGAAAATAGTGTGTTACGAAATCAATAAAAAAATGAAAGAGTAGGCTCTTAAAAGAAGTTAAACTTCAAATCAGAAAGGGGAAAAACATAAAGTATTCCACAACGAATAATAACTAAAATTACGTATATGTGCATGTTGACCAATATGAACCTTTTTATTTGGTAGGCAATCTCGGATGAAAAAAGCTCCGTGTGATTAGGTGGCAATTGAAGATTTGAAAAAACTCATGCCTGTGAACAACTTGCTAAAAGTTAGCATGCGGAATGATATAACTAGCTATCGTATTTATTTTAATTTAATATTTAGGGAATAAAAATTAGATGAGGGAAGGATAAACTTTCTAACATGGGAATTTCCAGCTTTGTATTTCTGGAGCTCCTCCTGTGCACATAAGAGCCTACATGCAGAAAAAATATATATATTTGGGATGTTATAATTAGATCCATGTTAATTATTACCAACCAACCAACCAAAAGTAGGTGTATTGTATGTATGTGTATACTACCTCCGTTGTAATTCACTTATTTCGTTAAGTAATTCCTTTTCCCTGTCATCCACTGCATCTAGCTGAAAATTAATTAATGCGTTAACAATTGAATAAAAGAAAATATAAAAATATAAAAATTCATATTCAAGATACTTTTACTAATCTATTTACAATGTTTAATTTTAATTTAATATATCAATGTAATAAACAAATTTAAAATAACAAATATGTTTTTATTTTAAAAAATGAGACGACATAGCATTGGAAAAAGACTTGAAAGAGATTTGGATTAATATTAAGATGTATAAAAATTAAAAGTGTTGGTGGAGTGTCATTGACATCGTTGGGCCAAGTAATAGACCCAAAATTAGACCTTATTATGATGAGCTGGAACAAGAGTCCATGATGGGACTGATTTTGGAGTTTGTACCTACCACCTCAAGTAATGTTAGAGTTTAGTTATTTAGGTTAATTAATAAAGGGATATATACAGTAAAGTCCCAATATTTTCATCGATTTGACAAGAAAGTCCTAAACTTTATTTTTTTCACAGTAAAGTCCAAATTACCGGCACTTTTACCCTTTTTTCCCGGTTAGCCGGTAATTAGGACTTTTTTGTCAACAATAAAGTTTAGGACTTTCTTGTCAAATCGTCAATTAGGACTTTACTGTCAAAAAAATAAAGTTTAGGACTTTTTTGTCAAATCGTTGAAAATATTAGGACTTTAGTATATATATACATTTTTTGGTTAGAAATTTAATGGTACGATACTCTTTAAGCCTAAGAGTTATTGAAACATTCCCTAATCAGTTAGATCCTATTGAAATCTTTTACGTTTGCTTCTTGTTAAATCGTTTTTTTAATCTCAACAAACCGACATTGAAAAAAATTGAGATAATCAAGAAAGAAAGAAATAACCAGGGTTGTGTTGGCTTTTTGCAGCCCCAAAAATGGAGAAATTAGAAACCGAAAAAAAACGAAATTGCCTTTCTTTCCATTCTCCGCATTCACACCCTTTTGACTAGGCATGTGTTGTTTGTGTTTGTATAAAGCCAGGACACTTTCGTCTTTTTGGGTTTCTAATTTCTCCATTTTTGAGACTGAAAAAAAGCCAACACAACCCTGGTTATTTCTTTCTTTCTTGATTATCTCAATTTTTTTCAATGTCGGTTTGTTGAGATTAAAAAAACGATTTAACAAGAAGCAAACGTAAAAGATTTCAATAGGATCTAACTGATTAGAGAATGTTTCAATAACTCTTATGCTTAAAGAGTATCATACCATTAAATTTCTAACCAAAAAAAGTATATATACACTAAAGTCCTAATATTTTCAACAATTTGACAAAAAAGTCCTAAACTTTATTTTTTTGACAGTAAAGTCCTAATTGACGATTTGACAAGAAAGTCCTAAACTTTATTTTGTTGACAAAAAAGTCCTAATTACCGGCTAACTGGGAAAAAAGGGTAAAAGTGTCAAAAAGTGCCGGTAATTTGGGCTTTACTGTCAAAAAAATAAAGTTTAGGACTTTCTTGTGAAATCGATGAAAATATTGGGACTTTACTGTATATATCCCATTAATAAAATAGACAACAGTACTATTTTCCGTAATCAAATAAGCTAATTATTGTACTTCTATAATTATAATAGGTCACAATCATACTTTAATAAGGGATCAAGCATTATGACTGATTAAACGTCATTAAGCAACTGGTGTCTTATTAGCAACCCCTCTGTATTATATATATTTTTTGAATTTCCTTTAGTATTAATTGCCTACCAAAGATCAAAGTATTTATTTTCAAATTTCTAATGGCATCTGAGAAATTCCCTATGAAATGATGCTTGCATACAACACTATGCTAGAAAATAAATGTAAAAAATGAAATGCATCAAAGCAACAAGTAGGAAAAAAAAAAAAAAAAAAGTTGATTGGGAGAGAAACATACCTTGGATTTCTCTAGTCTAGTGATGTCATCAGCAGAGACTGAGAGTGGCTTCGTGGAACTCAAAATGCCATTCTGAAAGGAGTGAGTGACATGGCATGTAAACATTTCTTTTTTCCTTTCAAACAAATTAAAAAAAAAGTTGATAAAAGTACATGGTTACTGACAGATACCCTTTGATCTGTAGCATCTCCCTGCATTGATGTAGGACCATTGGGATGTTCGATTATTATCTACACAAATGAGATAAATAATTGATTTTATAAACATCTATTTCCATGTAAAAAGGTTTTACATGATTATGCTAAAATAATAGAAAAAAGAGTATTAATACCCTCATGCTCGGACTCTTTAGCATTCCAGGAGAAGAAACCACCTAAACAAATGAAAGAGTGGTCGTTAGTTACAAGCTGAATACACATGCCAACTTTTTTCTTTTTTTTAAGTTACCTTATCATTGTCAGCATTCTCAGAGGTAACTTTAAAACGCCCTTTCTGTTGAACAACTGGGCACTTTGCTTTCTCATCTTGTTCATCATTAGTTACTGTTCCACCAATATTGTTAATAAAGAAATTATGCTTACCTTAATGAATGAAATAAGCTTAATAACCAAGCTGTTGAGTGTGATTAAATTAACAAATTGAAAACTCACATGTTGTTTTTGAAGAAACTTTGGAGATTGACTCAGATGTCAACCCATCTGCTATCTGGAGTGAATCGGATCCATTGCAGTTAGCAGTCTGACCTTGTAACTTGTCCCTGAAATTTTCATAAAATAATTATCAGGGGTGAAATAGGTCATGATATATATATATAAGCTGATGTCATCTAAGTAAAACATCATATATACCCATCCATTGCAGCAATGCATCCAGATGAAGCTACCCGCTTTTGAGAAAGAGATGCAATGCCATTTAAGGCTTTTCCACTAAAATCTGAGTTGACATTAAGAGAACAAGTCCGCAATGTCACATGTCCATTGGAAGAACTAGCAACATCTCCAGACTCGCATTCGCCCCTGAACAGTTAGGTGTAGGGCCATTGAAATTATAAATATATATACAAAAAAAAAAAGAAGCACAAATTGAAGGAAATAGCAAAACACTTTGTTCTTTCTACTAATATAAAAACTGTACTATAGTTTTACTCATCATTGACATGCGCTTACATGTTTTAACCCATAATAACAACATACTTGGATCTTTTAATAGATAGTAGCAATATGTAAACCCAAAATAGCAATGTACTTATATTTCCTTACCCCTAATAGCAATGTACTTTTGAATTACTTTTTTTAACAGCACTAAGAAATTACTTACACGTAATACCAATCTACTTACATTTCTTCACAAATAATATCACTATTTAAAATGAAACTGGTAAGTATTTTACAAGCTATTATGGGTAAAAGATTTTAAGTACTTAAGTATGTTGCTATTATGGATAAAAACCGAAGTACATTGCACATTTTTGTAAGGAAAGGTATATTGAAATTGAAAATGGTATGATTAAACTGAAGTCGACTTACATAGAAGATGATGCAATAGAGTTGACAAATGGAACAGATCCTGCCTGCAATATGTTGAATCTTTATTATAAAAAGTAGACTAAAGCATAGAATTTATCCATCAGAGTCAAAAGGAAAATGACATACTACATCAGTAGATGTGAAAGCCCTGCTCATGTATGACAATTGATGCTGAAGTTCCCTTTCACCTGCACCAGTCCCATTGAAAGAGATCGATTTCTCTAATTGGTCTTTGTCAGGTATAGGATCCTCATCCTGGATCTAATTATATAAAGAAAATTGTGTCATTGGTTAACTCAAAATTTTTGGAGGAATTACTTCAGATTTTTTGAGTTACATGAAGAAAAGTGCTGTTAATCAATCAAAATGCTTAGAATGTTCATCAGAAAATAGATATTGAGTACCATACCAAGGAAGCTTGAGCTTTCATATCTTCAAGATCGAAGTTCCAACCACTGATCCCTCTTTTATATTCGTTCTAGAAACAAGGTACAAAGAACATTCAGAAACCAAAAGTAATAAACACTAATAAAAATAACTAGGTGGTAGTTAGTATGAAAGATCTGGAGAAGGAATGGAATGGTTCATTCCATTGAAATAATAAAATCTCTGTGTTTTGGAATAGAATGGACCATTCCTGAAAGAATACGATTCCTTTTATTTTGTTACTTTCCTTCCTTAGGCATGATGGAATGGAATGAAAAATTGTAATATAACCCATTTTTATTTATAAATTTTTAATGACATCTTTTTTCCAAAAATTCATGATTTTATCTAAAATATAATTCTATTTTTATAAAGATAACTAGAAAATACTTTATTATTATAATCTTATTTGGGTTTTAATGAGCTTTTATTATGTTTAAATTATTCATTTTATACATAACAGATTACATAATCACAGTCAAATTATATATAGAATAGTTTTAGAACTATGCCTTCTATTTACATATAATATAAAAAAAGTCATAAGTATTCATTCCATTCCTACAGGTGAAACAAGCATGATCATTGAACATAATGACACATTCCATTATCTTGTTTATTCCATTCCTTCATCACTCTATTCCATCCAACCAAATAAGTTATAAGACATCATGTAGCAACTATCATCCCATAGTACAAGAAAAAAATAAAAAAAGAACCACATAACCACAAAGCAAAAATATGATTGAGCATGAGTCCTGTATAACATACCTGTGACATTTCCTCCTTTTGTCCATCGGGTATTTTCTTTTGAACAAGCATATCTTCTTCTTTTCTCTATTATTCCAAAAAATCAATTATATTGAGATGGTAAATCAATTATGACTTTGATAAACTCAAAAAAATAATAATGGAGGAACCTTCAATGCTTGAAGGCGATCACCAAGTGTTGGAAGCCCTTCGAGCAGCTTACGTGCTATAAAATCATTAGTTCTAGCTTGTCTGAAAAAAGAATGCTTCAGAAGCTTCTTTGCAGAAGGACGTTTTGAAGGATCTTTAACAAGACAACTCGCAATCATCTGCTTAAAAGACTTTGGACAGAGAAAAGACAACACGAGTATGAGATGAATCATGAGGTGATGATATAGTGGTAAAGAAAAAACAAATTAAATTACCTTAGAAAACTTCTTGTCCCTCTCATAATCAAGACCAGGAGGTGCATTTTGCAAGGTCATGAGCAAAACCTATCATGTTACAGGTATTTAAAGTTATGATTATGTAGGCTTACACAAGATAAAACAGAACAGGTTGTACTGTGTTTTGGACTGGGACTGGTGTCAATGGGACAAAAATTGCAATTTTTTATCCAACCTAAAGCGGAACATGGTGGGTTAGAGACTAGCTATCAATCTCTCATTTGTGAAAAAGACATGAATACCCTCTTCATCCGAAAATAGTCCCAATTGATGGCATAAAAAGGTAAAAAGATATGAAAATGCGAGATGGATGCACCTTCATTGGGGGGTATTTTGAGAAAGGAGCATGCCCATGAGCAAGCTCAAGAGCCGTTATACCAAAAGACCAGATATCAGCCCTGCAATCATATATAAAAATCAACTTTTCCACTACTTTGGCTTTGATAACAGAAGGGAAACCTTCAATGTACTTCTGTATCTTATCTTACTAGATAATATATGAAAATAGATGAAATCAACTTACTTGAAGTCATAGCCATGCAATTGTTCCATAACCTCAGGTGCCATCCTAAAAAACATATAAAACCATAGTAAGTATGATAAGCCACCATTGTTCCTAATGATGTCAGGTTAAATATGAACAATGCAACTCATCATATAAAATTTATGCAAGTTTAACAAAAAATACCAGCAAGGTGTCCCAACAAATGTGTTCCTTAAGCGTTGTCTATCACCAGAATCAAATAAACAAGCAGAAACACCAAGATCTCCCAGCTTGATTGCACCAGTATCACAAATCAGAATGTTTCCAGCCTGTTAATACAACAAAAGAATCACACCCACAAAAGAAAATTAATTACAAAACCAGCTTATAGCTATGATTAAGATGAATAAAAAACTCACTTTGACATCTCGATGAATGTGGCCATGATGGTGAAGATATTCCAACGCCTTTAATGTCTCACGCAGTATAGTTGCAATAACAACTTCCTCAAAACCTTCCGGATGGCAAGACTTCAGTATATGTAGGCAAGATCCACCAGGCATGAAAGGCATGACCACCCATAGGTTATGGTCATTTACAAAGGAACAATGTGATTTAAGAACATTTGGATGATCAACCAGGATCATTGTCTGAGCTTCACGCGATATATTGTTCTGATAACATAAAAACAAATGAGCAATGGAACCAACATAGTTTATCAGTTAGACTTAGATTAGGTGCCTCATAATTCATAAACCAATTTGCTACAAGTTTAAGGTGCATACAAGAGTTCATCAAATATCAGTTAAAGCAAATTTAGAGGTCCATGACACTTGAGCAATGTAGGTATGCCCTTACCAACAGGGCTTCTTCTTTGTTGTTTATGTTGGAATTTCTCCATTTTTGTTATTTTATATCATCAAATCATGAGCCAATGGAAGTATGTTTTAAAATTATTTGTAGAATCATGCTTTCAGTTAGTAGGATTATAAAATGTATTTATAAACTAGTAGTATAATCCAACCATGTTACAATTTTGACAAATTAGAATAAAATAACAGAACCACCACGGGGGAAAACACTATAGGCTATGAGTTTCAATCTCTCTCCCCTCAATAATTGTAAGGAACAGAATAAACACAAGATCATAAACTTTCTTTCTGAAAATAGCAACAGATCCTAGCCTATAAGAGTTTTTAGCTTGGAATTCTCCATAAAGTATTCTCATTGATCATAAAATGAAGATAAATAACTTCCTTGAGCATGTATTTTGATTGCCATGGTAAAAGATAATTCAACTAAAGTTCAAAACGAAAATCAGAATTTTAGTATATCTTTTAAATAACTATCAAAAGTAATCTCTCGATAACTTAGTGATAGAAGCCAGAGATGGATACAGTAAGCTCATAAGCCTAATCTATAAACCCTCAAAATCATCAAGGTGGTCTTGCAGATAATACTACAGAGTCCGATTCAGCTAATCACGACCATCTGTATGCCATAGAAAACTAGGTAACGACTAGCAACTCCGTTAAATGGAATTTGATTCTACTGTGAGATCGTCTAAATCAGATTTTAGGCTCATTGGACTTAAATATAATATGAAGAAATCATCAGAAGAACAATATGTATCGTGCAAAACCGAATATAAAAACGAAGGAACTGAATTTACCAAATCGCTGTTGCTACGTTCAAAATCAAGCACCTTAACTGCAACAATCTCCTTGTTCGGGATGCACATGGCTCGAAAAACCGAGGCACTGACACCTTGCCCTATTTCCTCATACAGCTCATAGTGCTCTGCTCCGACTGGATACTTCTTCTTCTCCATTTGAACCAACCAACCGCTAATCAAATAATTATTATATAAAAAAAGTCCTATTGAACGTCAAACACCACGGTGATACAGCTCTCAGGAGATCGTCGAATCGAAATTCTACAATACTTTTTCTTAAAAAAAACAAAAGCGGAAAAAAAAATTATCCAGACGCGTAAACGTCGAGAAGACTAAAGAAGAATGAGGAGTGAGAGATCAATTTTACGTAGAAGAACGGAAAGGCTCACAGGATTTGACTTTTGGGGCATTATTGATCGTATATCAATAACTGCAAAATCAAGCGATGAGAAATCGTGACGTATATACGAGTGAATAAAAAGGAAAGTTTTGAAATGGCGATGACGGTGATGAAGACGGCGGCGGCGGCGAGTTCAAGGTGTTGTACGTTTCACCGTGACGGAGGAACGGAGGAGAGATTTAGAGAGAGAAAACGGGCCTATCGGATCGCCGCACGTACAGGAAAGTAACGATTTACAAATGAAATTAGAATTGCAATTGCATGCTGGTATCCCGCCGCTTGTTATGTATTCTTAATTGTTATGTGATGACTACGACTCTGTGTGTGTGTGTGTTGGACTTGGATTCCAATTCTAATTGTGCTTCCCACAATAACAACAACGCGAGCCCATCACTATAAATTTTATTTTATCTTTTTTATATTTTATTCATTGACAAATAGAAACCTCTCTTTTGGAGCACGATTTTATTAAAATAACGTATTTTTAAGAATGATAGATTATAATTTTATAGTCAATGAAAATTTTGGTTATCAGAGTGATATTCCTGTTGTTGGCTTTTTTTAGGGAAACGAAGAAATATTGTTAATTATATTCGTGTTTTCAAGTGAAAATAAGTTGAAGAAAAATCGATTATTTTTATGTTAATCGGTTCACGCAAAATAAATGGAATTTGATAACTCATAATTATGTCCATATTATTATTATTATTATTATTATTATTATTATTATTATTATTATAGAGTTGTCGTTATCTTTCCAAAAGTGAAAGAAAAATTCATGAATAGAAGATGATGAACATCTTCCTCACATTCTGTCCTTTTAAAGAGCAAAGAAAAAGATGATTTATATCACAGCATAAGATAAACTTTAGAACATGATTTTTCTTTATTCGCTCTATTGACCTTCCTTTTTTTTCTCCTAAACAAAAACTAGAAAACACAATCATAAACCTCGTTTATATTTTATGTATTCAACTTTCTTGTAAAATTATAAACTTATAACATGGTTAGAATCCATGATTTTAAAAATATGTTTTTTTAAAATATAAATTGATTAAAATTACTATTTTTCTTTATTGTGTATAGAGATGGACAAAATTGTCTAATATTTAGGGATGAGATAGGTAGGTATCCATCTCATTTCGTCAGAACCGGAATCGGAATTGGAACTGGCGATGCTTGTGATGTTAGAACGGGAATCGGTTTAGACGATTCTTAAATTGTTGGAACCAATTCTAGGACCAGGTAATCCAGTCATGTCATTTTTTTAGTTTAGTTAATACAAAATATTTTTAGCCATTGAAACAAAAAGTAAATACTTTAACTAGTTCATTACGATACAAGTTACAAACAACAAAAAAAAAACCGTTTTAAAAATAATCCAATTTGTTAAATATAAGTTATAAACCAAAGTTCATATTCTTACCATTAACTTTTTAATGTTATTTAACATCATATCTTTTTTTTGAAGATATTATCATTACATATGCTTAAATTGCTTTATAGTCATGCATTCATATTCACATTAGATCATTTGTTTTGAAAAAAAAAATTGCTAATATTATTTATTAGCATGTTACCTCCAAGATCCAATTAAGCAATCTCAACAAATATCTTAGTCATCAACCTTGTTATGCCAATTCATTCAAGTATTAAGTATTTTTAAATTTTAATATTTCGGAACCAGTCCTTGGCGCTACTTTTAGGAACTGAACCGAAACCAGTAATCTTCAGTTCCAAAACTAGCAATTTCGAAACGGTTCCAGTTTCAAAAGCGGGTACCCGCTATCCATGCTCACCCCTATTAATACTAAAACTAGCATTGGGCAGAACTAGAACCGATAATTAAAAATATGAACCAATTAAGAGCAATTGAAATTATATATCGGCCCGCAAATCCTTGAAAATCCAACTTTCGGTTTAAAATTGTGAATTTATAAAAAGAAAAAATAAAGTGTGTTCTAGAAAATAAAGTATTATGTGAAAAGGTAAAGTGTATGATGATGGTTAATTTATGAAAATGAAACAAATGTGATGATGAGATATTTGATTTTCTCTATGATTTTATAAAATTTTGAATTCTAATTATTATTAATACTAGGTGTGAATCTCGTGTATTACACGGGTTTATTAAAAAAAGTTGAATATAAAATAATAACGATCAAGTTTTTTAATATATCTACCCTAATAAATGAAAACTAATTTCTTTGTTTATAATTGAATTTCATAACATTTTTTGTTTTGAAAAAATTATTGTATAAGTGAAAAGAGATTTTCTAATATGTGTCATAAGGGTACATATAAGAAGTATTAATTAATCCCAATTATTACCATAATTAAATGTTAAACACATTAATTATAAGAAATATTACCATAATTAAATATAAAATTCATTAATAATCTCTATAATTAATGCATTTCACATTTAATTATGGTAATAATTGTGATTAAGTAATACTTTTTATATATGCCCTTAGGGCACATATTGGAAAATCCCAAGTGAAAATTATGATGTGTAAACATTTAATTATGAAAGAATTGATTATTACCTAATTTGTAGTTGTACTTTTTTTGGTATGGTTATTGAAATTTAATTTAATGATTCTACATAACATAAATAAACTCGCATAAAATATGGAATTTACTTTTAAATTTAAGAAAATTGAAAGCACAAGAAAATACCAAGTGGAAAAATCAAAAATCAAAAAATTCTACAAAATGACATGTATCAAACTAAATGAGAACATGACATTTGGCAAAAACATTTTCATTTATTAGGTAGATTATTTTCATTTTCAATACTGATTCTCAAAAGTATAATTTGAAGTTTCTAATATTTTTCGTGTAAAATCCTAAAATTTACAAGTATTTTTATCGAAAATTCAACACGATCAACTTAACGTAAATTTAGCATTAATCCAAATAAAAATGTGAATAAAACATCAATAATCATCCACCATAATTTTAAAATATATATATGTAACTAATGCACAAACTTCCAACAAATATTACATCTAAACCTTAACATGTATTACTAACATCATCATCAAATGTTCAATATTCAACCTGCTATAAATACTCTTAAATTACAAATCTAAGACTTTAACAAACCACATCACCATTAAAATATTAAATTAAGAGTTTCGATCATAATTTCAACAATTTACTAGCACCGTATCCGTTCAAAGCGGAAGTGAAGAATAGTTTTCTTTCGACGGATTTTTTTTATTCAACGGCGACCAATAATTTTTTTCTACCGATAATTTCTTTTGAAAACATATATAATATGATATATGGGGTAGGTTGGAGCAGGTGACGTGAAATAGTGTTTTCATCGTTCTTTTTTACATTGAATTTCTTATATGGTTTATTGGTTGTACATTGCCTTTAATTATTATTTTTTATGAAACATTTAAAAAACAAACTTTTGGTCATAAAGATAAGTACAAGATCATACTTCACTTAATTTTGATCATAAACGTAGGTACAAGATCATACCTCTAATGATGGTGTTAGATTCTACAAAAGTATTGTTAATGTTTTGCTTTTAATAGCTATTGCCTCGTCTTGGCAAAGAAAAGTGTACATTCAAAAACACGTGATGATTATATGGGGTGAAAACACAAGTCATTTCTTGTTTAATTATTCAATCAAACTTGACTTGACTTACAGTAAAGTACAAATCAAGTATAGATGATACATACATAGAGAGAGAGAGATGGGTGCTTGCCGCTTGGACCAAGCACCATGTCTTACGGGTCTCTCTAATTTTGTTTCAGTTGAATTTTTCGTCTTTTAGCCGAAACTTACACCACTTCTTGCATACATCTATTTGCCATACAATTACTTTTAAAGCTTAAACTCCTTTACATATGTAAGAAAATATCACTTTCTCCAATGAAACAGCATACTAAAATACTTGTGCATTTTCCAAAAATGATTAATTGCATTGAAGTGCAAGTATCATCTTTCAAATTTCATATCATTAAACTACATGTTTCATATCTTTAAGATTTTACTTTAGGCGGGGAGGGACGCGGGAAACATCCCGCAAGAAGGAACACCACACTGGCGTTGTGGGAAAGGTGGTGCGGGGAGGAGGGTAGGGGTGGGGCTGCCGCGTTCTCACTCTTCCTCCGATTTGGTGATTAATTTTTTTTTTTATTCCAACTACATAACGTCAGTGGTGAGTCTAGAATAGAAACGTACGTGGTTCACTATTTAAATAAATCAATATATAGAAATAAAATAGTATATATATATATATATATATATATATATATATATATATTATATATATATATATATATATATATGGTGAGGTTCAATACACAACCATAATTAACTGAGGAACCAATCTTTTTTTCAACTTTTAGAACTTACTTTAAAAAAAAAAAAAAAAAACATTTTCGTGCTGCCGGGATTAATCGAGTATATGGTCTTGTGAGTTTCCTCCATCAGAAGATCTCTTATTCCTCCCGTTTTAGGTACCCAAATCCTATCTTAGAATACTTTCAGTCCTTAACTGTTTGTATCGAACACTAACGTTTTGCCCAAACGTTCTTTCTTTCGTTCATTTTTCTCTAAAGCTTCTTCCTGAACTTTTTTGATGTTTTCTACAATCGTTGAGACAACTTCGATTCTTAATGCTCTTGGCCTTTTCTTTTCAAGGCTCACTTTTCTATTTAAAGCGGTAGCTACAACATTTGTTTTACCATGGTGGTAAAGTATTTCACAGTCGTAGTCCTTAAGCAACTTTAGCCAGCGTCGTTGCCGCATATTCAATTTCGTCTGATTAAAGAGATACTAAAGACTCTTATGATCAGTGAAAAGTTTGCACTTTGTGCCATAAAGATAATGCCTCCATATCTTTAGTGCGAATACTACCGCTGCCAACTCCAAATCATGAGTGGGATAGTTCTTTTCATGTTCTTTCAATTGTCTCGATGCATATGCTATCACCTTATCCATATGGGTCAGAACACAACCTAACCCAACTCCATATGCATCACTATAAACTGCGAAGTCTTCAACTCCTTCGGGTAAAGAAAGAATCGGTGCTTCACACAACTTCTTCATTTGCTTCTCAAATGATTCCTTATGCTTCTCACTCCAAGTATAAGTATCTCATTTGTGGGTCAAAGCTGTCAATGGAGCAGTTATCGAGAAAAACCTTGAATAAATCTTTGGTAATATCCGGATAATCCCAGAAAGCTTCAGATCTCCATGGGACTTTTTGGTTGTTGCCACTTTATTATAGCTTCAATCTTAGTTGGGTCAACCATAATCCCTTATTGGTTAACCACATGACCCAAAAATTGGACTTCTTGAATCCAAAAATCACATTTGGAGAACTTTGCATACAACTTCTCCTTTTTCAGAACTTCTAACAAAAATGGCAGACCCGGTCCCTCCATTCACAATCTCTTCAATTTAAATCCAAAATTTA